CACTCATACTTTTGTCGCTGACTACTCGATACCACTATCGCCGTTGTTTACTCGCCATTGCCGCCACCACCTCATTGTTTGATTCCCGCCATCGTTCACTAACGATTTCCACCATTTTTTTTATCTACACTTCATCATTGCCAATCTATACTATAAAAGCTTTGATCTACATGCTACCATTATCAATCTACTACTACCGTTTGCCAACCACCTCTATCATCACCGATCTACACGTCATTGTTCAGATATGACCATTTACAATGTCAATCTAGTACTATAGCCATCTTCACTGTCAAGATGAAGCCATAACATGGTTGCTGGAGCTTTTTCTAGTGAAGGCTGGAGCTCTTTCTAGTGAAGTCAGCTCTCTCTCTCTCTCCCCTTCTATTTTTCTATATTGTGTGATAGATCTCCATGAATTTTTTGATGAAGATCTAGTTAAACTAAATCCATTGCTTGTAAAATCTGGATAAATATACAACGATAAATTTATCAGTCTTATGCTTGTTGTGTGTGTGTAAATATGTGAATGTGTTTATGAATAAATATGTAAGTGAAATTGTATGTATGTGAGTATGAGTGTGAGAGTGTAAAAGAGTACTGATTAAATGGTTTGGTTATTTATTAGTGATAAATTTATCATTGTTAATATTTATTCTTGACAAATTTAACATTCATAATTTTTTTCTCCTCTCTTATTTACTTTCTCTTGTTGTGTAAGTGTATAACTTTGTTTTTGTGAATAAATAAATGAATGGGTGTGTCTCAAAATAAGAGAGAATTGTTTATTAAAATGGTCTGGTAAATACTAATAAATTTATCACTGCTAAACTTTTCTCCTCATTTCTCATTTCTCTTGTCATATCATATCAAAGTGGTGGGAGTTAGTGATGTAATGGAGATGAAAGTTGTTTTAGTTGTAAAAATGGTCAGGGAATTGCAAAAACCAAAATATCACCAGAGGTGTTCGCTGGAAAAATATTTTCAGAGACTGTGAGACCCCTAATTATTGTAAACCCTATTAAGTCCCCTACTTTTAAATTATTTCTTTGAAATCGCTCAATTTCTTAATTAATTTCAATTTTAACCCTGGGATCAAAATACATGCACCAACTGAAAACTCGCAAACCCTGATTAATTTTGATAACTTAGAAATCATTCTAATACCCTAATACTAATTAATTGACTCCATAAACGTAGAATTACCACTTAAAAACCCTAGATTTTTTCAGTTTTTTATCACGCTCGTCAGTTGATAGCCTTTTTATTCGAAACAAGAAATTCAAACCGAATTAGATTCTCTAACCTAACTTAGTTAAATTTTACTCTAAAATAAATGTTCCGATTCATAAATTAAGGCCTTAGCCCTCATATTTTACTTAAATCACAAATTGACCCCAAGTTAGACCATTGTATATATATATATTTGTACCTCTTATTCATCAAATCTTTTTGTATACAATATCTATGGATTTTGTACACAAAATAAATAGGAAAATCCCCGAAATCTTGAGCACATGGCCAGCCATCATACCTCCTAGGCTATAATCATTGTACCTTAGAGACAAATCCCTTGAATCATGGAAATAATTATGACCTTGGTACAATGTCAATCTAGTACTATAGCCATCTTCACTGTCAAGATGAAGCCATAACATGGTTGCTGGAGCTTTTTCTAGTGAAGGCTGGAGCTCTTTCTAGTGAAGTCAGCTCTCTCTCTCTCTCCCCTTCTATTTTTCTATATTGTGTGATAGATCTCCATGAATTTTTTGATGAAGATCTAGTTAAACTAAATCCATTGCTTGTAAAATCTGGATAAATATACAACGATAAATTTATCAGTCTTATGCTTGTTGTGTGTGTGTAAATATGTGAATGTGTTTATGAATAAATATGTAAGTGAAATTGTATGTATGTGAGTATGAGTGTGAGAGTGTAAAAGAGTACTGATTAAATGGTTTGGTTATTTATTAGTGATAAATTTATCACTGTTAATATTTATGCTTGATAAATTTAACATTGATAATTTTTTTCTCCTCCCTTATTTACTTTCTCTTGTTGTGTGAATAAATAAATGAATGGGTGCGTCTCAAAATAAGAGAGAATTGTTGATTAAAATGGTCTGGTAAATACTGATAAATTTATCACTGCTAAACTTTTCTCCTCATTTCTCATTTCTCTTGTCATATCATATCAAAGTGGTGGGAGTTAGTGATGTAATGGAGATGAAAGTTGTTTTAGCTGTAAAAATGGTAAGGGAATTGCAAAAAACAAAGTATCACCAGAGGTGCTCGCTGGAAAAATATTTTCAGAGACGGCAACTAAAGATACTCGCCGGACGTCCAATGGTGTTCAGAGATGGTGACTGGAGGTGATCGCCGGCAACCAGAGATGGTCACCGAACGTGGTCGCCGATGCTGGAGGTGATCACCAGAGGTGGTCGCCAGTGACTAGTGGTGGTTGTTGGTGGAGGAGGAGAGTGTTGATAATAGGAATGAAAAAAAGTAAAGGAAAGGTATTTTAGGAATATTAATAGGTGAAAAAAAAAAGAGAGCTTGACTTGTAGGTAAATAAGTCTTCTCAATAGGATCAGCTGTAAGTCCCCTTTTCTTTAATAGGTAGCTTGGTTACTCCATTGTTGTTTGGGCTTGGATATGCATAAATGATAGCAATTTTCCCCACCATACTTTCTTTGAAAAAGAAAAAAAGAAATACCTATATATATATATATATATGTATTAAGTGGATGGATATAGAAATTTATATTTTTCTTAAGGACTTGAGATTATTATATAAATCCGATGTTTGGGTCAAGTGGACTTGAGTAAACACCAAGTCTCTTAATAGATAGTGCGAACTTGGTCTAGCCCGGTCAATGTCTACCTCTTGTTAATAGATAGATATGGCCCCGTTTGGTGTAGCTGTTAGAATCAGAAGCTGTTTGAAATAAGTTTTAACCAAACAGTCCAAAATAACTTTTTCAAAACTAAAAGCCATAAGTTAGCTTTGAAAAGCTAAAACAAGCACCCCCATTAGCTTAAATAAGGTATAAGAGAAAAAAAAATTAAAAAATTGAGTATCTAAAGTTAGGAATAAGTATTTTTGACTTCTGCTTTCTAATTATAAACTTTTTACATATAATAAATACCAAGCATACTCAACATATTTGTAAAAAATTGAACATAAATTTAAAGTAAAAATGATCCAATTAAAAGAAGCGAACCATCTAGAATTGAACATAAACTTCTCAATTACTTTCAAGATAGTGAAAAAATATTTTGTTCTTTAATTTCAATTCAATTTTTGGAAGTGGGTTATCAATTCACCTACAATTTTTTCTATTTATTTATTTTGTTATTGTAAATATATATAATGGCTTATTTCAAGTCATATTTGTTTTTCTTTTAAGTCAACTCATAATTGTTTGGAATAGTATTTGGAAACTTAAAATGTTACTTAAAGTCAAAATTTTCGCTACTCAAACATAATCACTTGCTCACTATTAGTCTGCTAGATGGGTAGTTCGCGAGGGCCTTTTATGTGCTAGGGCCAGAGGGATACTTCAACTCACTGTAGAAACTGATTACATTATGGTTTTTAATGCTTTTCATAGGAAGTAAGTTCGTCATTGCAAGTCAGAGCAGCTTCTTCTGGACAGCCTAGTTCTAGCGCAAGGGTTCAAAGCCTCATAGCTTCATTTTGTATACTGAGATGCTAATTTTATTACAGATACCTTAGCCAAATATACAGTTCAACACACATCCCTAGCTATAGAAATAAATATAACTCCTCTATTTTTGAAGCCTTTTTTTATGGTTGGATATGTTGGTGCTTCACGGTTCAAACATGTATCTAAACCTAAACTTTGTACTAATTTAATACAAACATCCTTTATATGAAGTAAATGGTTCATCCACAATAGTGAAAACATGTTTTAAACTTATTAAAATCATTTTTAATTCATTCAAGAGCATCTGATTGAATTAAGAAAAAGAATTCCCAACAATTCCTCATTACAACTAGGACAAACTATGCTGATATAAGGACTTCTGTTACATATCACAAAAGTAAATAAACTTCTCTTTAAGCCTCTAAAATCAACAGTTACAAGTCTCGAAAACCGTGTTTAAAAAAATAGGTAAATTACACTTTGCCCTTTTTATGTTTGGCCACTTTCTTACTTTGACCCTTCAAATTTATTTTTTTCCCACTTTGGCCTTTCATGTTTCAAGTTTTTTCCACTTTATTTCTAAGGCTAACTTTTGTTCAAAATTAAACAGAAAATGCTACGATAACGGTCACATAACATAAAAAATATATTATTATATTAGAATTTAAGTTTATGTTAGAAGTATAAGTCATATATAATAAAATATGTTTATGTCATGTAACTGATAATATGTCTTTTTTTGTTTAATTTTTAACAAAAATTAGCTTTAGAATAAAGTGGGAAAAACTTGAAACATAATGGGCTAAAGTAGGAAAAAAAATAAATTTGAAAGGCCAAAGTGGGGAAGTGGCTAAACAGAAAGAGGGCTAAGTGTAATTTACCCTTAAAAAAAAGGAAAAATAAAAAAAAGACCAAATAATTCGCATAATCAATTGATCAATACGACTACTAAATCAAAGGAAACACATTAGATATTACTGTCACTAATTATTTTTTTTACTTCAGTAAATAGTATTATTATTCTTTTTCCAAATTCAGTAGTTGAAAATTTGAACACTGCTCGAGAATCAAGATATATGTCCCTCCAAAGATAATATTTCACATTTGCATAATTGTTTACAACAATTTACTACATAACATTGCCAAAAGAAAAAAATTCAGGGAATTCTTATAACTGGAAAAAATTCATTGTCCACTAAGCAAATCTTTTGAAAATTTTCTATAAATAATTGTGACTAAACAAATCAAACATCATTGGAAAGTAAATTATAGAATTGCGGATTTAAGAATGAAATGCAACATATACCAAGAAAGTAGCAACTATTGAAAATTAATAAACACGTTCTTCACCTTCATTGTGAAGTAAAGCAAGGTTCTCCATGTAAAAGAATATTTTATAAGGCCATTGTGGCAATTTAAGGTCCCTATGAAATTGGGTTTTAGGGTCATAGGAAACCAAATTGCCTGTTCTTCTTTCAACAAGAATTTCACCATTCTTCATGGATCCAAAAGGAAATCCAATTGTGTTCCCTAAACTATACTGTTTAGTCCAAGAGTTCACAACACCATATTCCTTCATAACCCGTATGTCCCATTTTGTTATAGCTGGATCTTGGACAACCAAGGCAATCGAGTGTTGGAATGCCAAAATGGTAGCCCAATGTCCATCAAAAGAAGGCACGATAATTTCCCCAAATATCTCATTCGCCAATTGGAACGGCACAATCACAATTCTTCCATCCCCCTGCCTCTGCATGCCATCCAATGGAGAACGCCATTAACAAGTGGACTCGGTCCCATTTGGGAATAATAATGCAGTATCCTACCCGGAAACATGTCACCAGTCCTCTTCCTTCTCCAAGAATTTGTGCTCATGGTATAAACCTTAACACTTGGATTTTTAAATTTTCCATATGCAATTTGCACCAACTTATAATCACTGATTTAAGGAACAAAGCCAAACCCGAAAAACATTCAATACTGGTAAACTCTGAACTTCAATTTTGGGAGGATCTTTAATTTTTGGATCAAAGGGTTCCACAAAATTATATTAAATGAAATTTTTTTCATACATCTAGGAGGCACACTAACCCATTAGAACAACTAGCAACAAAAACATAATTTTCTGAGCATTTGGGAAAAAAACTCTCTCTTGAACTCTAACAACGTTTCGCAACGACAAAATGAATAAGAAAAATATTTTTTAGCATCAGGTCGAATGATGAGTTGGGGGGTCTTATTATCATTGTACGAGCACGAAATAATTCTTCTCGTATAATCCTGTTGATCAAGTCTGCGCTCCTCCGTACGACGTCGCTTTACTCCCTGAAAACACAAACGTGAGCTAGCCAGCGGGTGTGTACCGGATACCTCTCCGATGCCTAAGTCAGCAAAATAGACAAATAGACAAAAGCTCTGTGTATTCGAGAATCAAAGTTGTGTTACCTCTCCATAGGCAATGTTGTGAGCTTTTATAGGTTCCGTGTGGCATAATCCTAGTAGGACTCTTACTCCTCCTTGTAGAATCCCCCTAGGAATCACATTCCTGAAAGATAATGTTTATCCTTCAACACCCCCCTCACTGCTTAAACCAAGTGAGATGGTTTTACCATGGTCGGATCCCAATATAACCGAGGTAAGGATGGCTATGCTAAGCCGCAGAGTAGACCGAACTAAAGCCAGTTCGGTTTCTTCCATTCACTACTCTTACCTCGGCTTCTCCTCTACAAACCATGGTGTGTTTAGACTGAGTTAAGAAATAGCAAGGTTTTGACCGAGCTAACCGCAACATGCCACGACCGGGCTAACTCTGAGTGTGGTGACCGGGCTGTCTGTCACACTCTCTTGGACCGGGATAACAACAAGGCCTTTTGGGGACCGGGCTAACGCCAAGGCCCTTTTTACTCCGCCCTTCTTACTGTGGCTCACAACGGCCCATTACCCAGCTCGGCCCAATTTATATATATAAATTAATTCCATCTGCATAGCATGATAGGGATTACCCATTACCCGCTACCCGCCGAGCTAAAAAGTTTTAGCCTCCCAACCGAGCTAAAAAACTTTAGTTTTTCAACCGAGCAACTAAATTGCTTCTCATTCCAAGGACACATGGCACACTCTAATTGGCCCAATGCAGCTGTCACACCGCCTTCGTACTCCGTGTTTTTTGAATAGTCCTGCCCAAAGTTTGGGCTTTTCACCAAAACAAACCCTAAGGTTTTGAATCCATCACTTTACTATTCACACTCTTCTCCCTCTTCCTCCTGGGCTATCCTCGTTTTTCGACCTACAACTGAAAAAAGCTTCGTGTTCTTGCTTCTGGTGCCATTTTCATTTTCCAGTTCCTTCCTCTTCGACCTGGTAAGCTACATCTGTTCTCTTTTTGTTATTTTCGCACTTTTTTTTTACAATCCACAATATATTGTTTGTGTGTTTTTGTAAAACACATTTTCTCCATTTTTCGCTTTGCGTTGCGTTTTCTGGGAAAAACCTTGTAAGAACCACTAGTATTCATGAAACAATCTGTAGAACACTGTATCTGATCCAAAATCACAATGTAACCGAACTAGGAAGCTGTTTGTAGCTGATGTCAGTCTAGCTAGACTAACCAACCGAACTAACACTTCATGCTATTCCAATAGTTTTAACAAGTCAAACCACCTTTTGATTAAATTAGCTAAGCTATCGAATCGTACTAGGTCTGCGTAATAGCGCGCTTCAAAGCCTCAACCATGACCGAGCTACAGCTTGGGGCTAAACCAGCCTCTTAGTCTTGACCGAACTAAGAACGCTGCCCCTAGAGGCTCAGCGGGGCTAACAAACACCTTGCTCAAACCGAGCTAAGACCCGTAGCATCTCACATAGCCAAGCTAGGACTCCATTTATCTTGCCTTTATTTCTTTTAGCACGGTCTAACGATCTGTGCTTAACACCTTTGTTTTTTGCTTTGCAGACTTAGGTTGCCCAGGCACTGCTTTGAGCGCCCAACCGAGCTACTCAGCATCATTCTTCGACCGAGCTAACGCTCCAGTTTAATTTATTCATAACTTAAACCACAAATGGGAAAGTATAGGTTTTTAGTTAACTCACCAGGTGCCATGGCCGAATTCCGAAAAGATTATAACATCCCTAATGATGTCCATCTCACCCTAGCTGGCCTAGATATCCTACCATGGGGAAAACACGGCTTCGTTCCCTTTACCCTGCTGTCCATAGTAGAGACCGGACTAAGATTCCCTGTACAGTCTCTTCTCTGTGAATTCCTTAGGCAGACCAACCTTTGCCCAACCCAACTTTCCACCAATTCTTACCGTATAATAAATGGTATTGCCGAGCTAAATCGACGGGCTGGCCTTAATCTTGGTTTAGCCGAGCTCTTCCATCAATATTCTATAGGCTCCGCCGAAGATGGATGGGTCTATTATTTAAGAATAAGACGCCAGCGTGAAAAAATAATAAAGGATATCCCAGATAAAGACGTAAATAATGATGACTTCCTCTGGGTATCTGAAAATTTTGAGGACCAACAGGCCCAGATCCCTGGTGACAAAATAAATTGGAACAAGGGTGTAGCCGGTAAAGTTACCTCGGTTTCATACTACGCCTTTCTTTACTTCGATTTTCCCATCTTAAACCACTCTAACTGTTGTCTTCTTTTATGTAGATTTGAACTTCCTCAAGTCCCAATACAGCTACCCCAACTTGCATATACTTCGTGCCGTCCTGCGATATCCCAACCAAAGTTGGACCGAGCTATTGGACTTTCAGCCGACCTACCGATATAGTGGCAAACGGAAGACCAAGGTAACTGACTTCTTATTGGAAGCCTCTCTTGAACCGGATCCAAACTTGCCCCAAATCAGATTGATCCCTCTAACTGCTGAGCAAGAGATAGCCAAGAAACGAGCTGTGAGGGCCTTTCTAACCGAAACAAACCAAGCCGAGGTACCACCAGCAAGCCAACCACAAGAGACCATGGTGGCCTTACCGACCCATCAACCCTCTTCATCTCGTCCAAGCAAGCGTGCTCGGACTTCCACAATTGAGCCACGCCTTGTTGATGAAGAGGACACCATTCCTCCACCAAGCCCTCCACGAAGTCCACAATCGGAGCGCTTTGACCGGGCTAGTTCTTCCAAGTGGGCTCCAAAGATCACTTTTCAGAACCGTGCTATACAGGATACTGATTCAGTGGTCTCTGAAAAAGATCACCTAATGGCCTTCAATCTCGCTAAAAATGTTTGCCTTCCACTTGACATGGAGCACCACGACCACCTAACCGAGCTAAAGGCACTTCGCTCATCCACAAAATCCATGGTGCTGGTAAGTAGCTCTCTTGCTTATCTTTCAAATTCTTACAACTTTCTGCTCGGTCGTACTTAAAAAGTTTCTTTCCATCCTTTTGTAGGCCATACAAAAGAACCATATTGCTCACAAGCGAGTGTTGGTACTTCGAAAAACCACTAGGCAGGCCATGGCTGAGGCTAATGAAAGAACGGCCAAACTAGAAGTGGCCAGGAAACAAATAGCCGAGCTGAAAATCGAGAATGGTCGTCTGACCGATCTTGTTAGCTCGGCTGAAACAGACAAGCAAAAGGCAGCGGCCGTGGTAAAAGACAAGTATCTGCGTGAGCTCGCCAAGCTCGAGGGAAAAAAGAACACCGAGATAACCAAGCTTGAGAAGAAGCTGGAAGATGCGGAGGACCGTGGTTTCAAGGAAGGGGAGGCTCTTTACATTAAGCAATGTGAGGCGGCCCAAGACTTATTCTTTAAATGCGGATGGAGGGCGGCCGTGGCACAGCTCGGTCATGGGCCAGAGACCGAGGTCTTCAACCTTCCTACGTATTTTATCCCGGGTTCGATGACGGAGTACGCTGCTGCCATTCAGCAACAATTTCTTCAGGCTGAGGATGACGAAGAAGAGACTGAGCCAAACAATACCCCGGTTGTTAATGAACCTGCTGTTCAATCAGCTCAGTTGGAGCCACTGGTTGAAGATTTGACAACTGAACTACTAGATGAGACCAGGCTACCAGATGAGACCGGCCTCCGAGTTGATCTTGACGCAGAAATAGATGACCTTTTTGCTTAATCTCTATATTTTCGTCTTTTTGCTTTTGTACAAGAAGTTGTAATCGGGCTGAGGTCCCACCTTGTGTATTCAATTTGCACTTAATGAAATCCTCTTTTGTTCCAGCTGTTATCTCGGTTTACTTCCATGCTGGTACTTGCTTTCTAACTGTAATCTGAATGAAGTATAACCTTCTCTTGCCGAGATACTTTATCCCAGTCTTTAGCTTTCCAATCTATCAAGCCATAGTTGCCAACCTCTTCAGCCTAGATTATTATCTCGGCTGAAGAACAATAAGTGTTGATTTTTCCAGCCAACCACTCTTCAGCCTAGATCCTTATCTGGGTTGAAGAGTACAAAGTGTTGGTTTTTCCAGCCAACCACTCTTCAGCCTGAATCCTTATCTCAGCTGCAGAGGACTAAGTGTTGGTTTTTCCAGCCAAACTTCCTATAGCCTGGATCCTTATCCTGGGCTTAGGAGGGTTGTTGGTTATTCCAACCAACCTCTAAGTTGGTTTTTCCAGCCAACCTAGAGTAAAGTGTTTGGTTTTTTTAGCCAAACGTCCTGCAGCTTGGATCCTTATCCTGGGCTTAAGAGGGGTGTTGGTTATTCCAACCAACCTCTAAGTTGGTTTTTCCAGCCAACCTAGAGTAAAGTGTTTGATTTTTCTAGCCAAACGTCCTGC